TCATGTTTTTAGTTTCGTTAGAAAAAGCTATGTTGTTTCTTTTTGTCTTTAACAATTTATTTTTATAAATAGGTTTTGAGATGTAGTAAAATAGCTGGTGTGAAAGTAGCAGAAATTACAGAGCTGATCCAGAAGGCTCTGGAGAATGACCAGAAAGTTAGGTAAGTTTAACATTTTAGGACCAAATGGCCTCTCATAGGTTTTTCTGTTCAGGATCTTTCTCCGCCGGGGTAACCATAGGGTTTTCTCACTCAGAGCCTAATCTGTTAATCTCAGTTGAATACACTGCTTAATGTTTTTTGAAAGTCGATTGAACTCTGTTGAATTGTGGCACAATTCGAACAGTCTGTATTAAAAAGCCACATGATATATATATATATATTTTTAAATTAACATGTTCTTAGGGAAAAAAGAATCAAAGAGCTTAAATTAACTGAAAGAACACCACTAGGTTGATGCTCATCTTTCCATGAGACGTTAAGCAGATCTGTAACCAGCACGTCCGCGTCTTCTCTGACATGGAAGCTTAGTGCTTGCGTGCTGGGGTTGCTTTGAGGATTAGAGAATAATCTCCTTTAAGCCCTTATGTGCTGGCCCATGGTTCAATGAACGGTAATTAAAGGAACTTCTTATTTCTCTTGATAGGCGTAATAAATTGGTGAGGTTAAGTTAGTCAAATAAGTATTCTAGTATTTCTCATCGATCAGAAGGATAAAATATGTTTTTCCCTTCCCATCTTCCATCTGTTGTCCACTCCATCCCACCTCCCCTCCCAAAAAAACCCACACAGGAAAGAAGGTGGAAAGTTTGGTTTTGCAGAGTCTATAGCAAATCAGAGGATCACAGCATTTAAAATGGAAAAGGCCCCTGTCGATACCTCCGACGTGGAGGAGAAAGCAGAAGAAATCATTGCTGAAGCCGAACCTCCTTCAGAAGTGTATCTTTACTGGATGTGCTTTTCAGAAGCAAGATTCAAGACACTGGCATTATTTAGGCTATGTGAAGGGTGTGCATACTGCAGTTTGTCTTCTGAAACACTACTTTGTTAGAGAAAACATTTAAGATTCAAGACAAGATAGTGATGAATCATATTAAGTCGATGGATAACATCCACCTTCTCTTCAGCTATCCTACAAAACCCAGAAAATTCTTTAAGGTCCAATTTATAGCATTTCATTTTCCTTTAGAATATTGTCCTTTCATCTCCATGGCACAGTCAAGCACTCTGCACTGTTACACATTCTTAAAATTACTTACTCATCTATTCACCAAAATTATTACAACTAAAATGTTGACAATTTTCTTGCTATTTCTCACGATCATGTCCTTAAAATCTTACCTGAGTTAGGACTTTTACATTTCTTCTTCACTGTTCAGCCATCCATAGTACAGCTGTCGGTGAGTATCTCCCCCTCATAAGCGCATGCACACTGCAGTCAGTCTTCAAGGAAGAAAACACTCTCATCTTTCTCAGCAGCGCCTCAGCAATATTTTTGTTCTTCAGTTTTCTTAACTTGTTAAGTGTTTCTAAACCTGTACTGTGGACTCCTGGAACTGCCCAGATCGGAGAAGGCGTAGAAAACTCCTGGGGCGATCTCGAAGACTCTGAGAGGGAAGATGAGGATGAAGGCGGCAGTGATGAAGCGATCATTCTTGACAGTATAAAAATGGACACTGGACTAGAAGTCTCCAATATTGGAAGCCAAGGTAGGTGGTGCTTTATGGCTTGTATTATATATTATATATAGAGAGAGATATATAGTTATAGTATAGTATAGATAATCTGTTCCTGCGTACAGATTAAAATATCCCTAAAATAGGGATCTTTTTATATTAGCAGTTTCTTTTTCTAGGGGCTAAATATTTTGACTTAAATTTCAGCTGAATTGTTGAGCTTAACTGCAATATTAACTCCAATTCTTTTCTAAAAGAATATGCTTCTTTGTGGAGTAGTGGTATTCTTTGGTATGTAAATGTGGCATTGTTATTAAAAAATGTTTAGTTCTTTATTTCTTTTATGTATGTATATCTGGGCCAGTTTTAAGGTGTCTTAAAGATTTTATTCCTGCATGCTATTTTTTCTTTGTACAGTTTCTAGACTGAAACATAAAGGCTGTAACGTAACATATTAGAATAGTGGTATCCAAATAGAACTTTCTGCAGTGTTAGAAATGTTCTATATCTAGTGTCCAATATAGTAGCCACTGGTGACATGTAGCTGTTGAGGCCCTTGAAATGTAGCTTGTCTAAGGAACTGAATTCTAAATTTTGTTAATTTTGGTGAATATAAAATTAAATAGCTGCATGTGGCTTCCATATTAGAGCAGTATTAGAACATACAAAATTCTAGAATTATCTGGAATATGGGGAATCTTTGACATTCCTTGCATTCTGAAAGCCATAAAACTGGTGAAATTGTTTTTACCTGTGGATATTTTTACTTTTAAGAAAACCAAATTCTTGCTTGGCCTAGGTTAGAAAATGAGTTGCACTTCCGGAGTCTGTCGTGCACAGACCTGCCCGCCTTGTAAACATCGGAGCCTGCTGGGGCTTTCGGAGGCAAAAATTCCCCAGTGCCCGGGACCCTTATCCAGCTTTCCCAGTGGTTACTTCTCTTTGGTATTACTCTCCAGCTCTTGTCCCATGTATTTTGCTGTATATTTACACCGACGTAAGCTGCTTACACACAGGGACTGAATGAAACTTTAGAATTTTTTCTGTGTTTTTACATGAACAGCCACATCCTTTTAAATGCTATGTAGCAATTTGCAGTGATGAATGTAACTAGTCGGTTTAATCATTCCCTTACTGAGAGAGCAGATTTTACTGTTACAGTGCTACAGCGAGCACCATTCATACGCCTCTGTATATGTGTGAACTGTTTTTCTAAGATGGTAATGTTGATAGCTAGAATATTCAGTTTGTCTTGAGGAGTCCTCAGATAATTGGGAGGATGGAGCAAATAAAGCCTCTCTAAAACATATGAACAAAAGGAGGGACTAATCGAAGGACTCGAAATACCTGATGCACCGACCACTGGGAAAAGGGTCCATTCACATTTTATGTATGTCATTAACAAAGGCTGAGGAGGAAAATGGGCACAAGAATTACAAAAGGAATTCTCAGATACAAATGGTCAGTAACACATGCCAATCCTGAGAGTAATAAAGGAAATAAGTTCAGAGCAAAAAATGAGAAGGCATTTGACTGCTATATTGGGCAATCTTAAAAGTACTAGAATTGGCAAATGTGTATAGGAAATGGGTTCTTGAGATACTACTTCTTGGAATGTAAATTGGAACAGTACTTTTGGAGGGATTTGGCAAAAATCTTTTTTAAATGTATATGCCTTTTGATCCAACAATTCTGCTTCTAGGTATTTTCTTTCTAGTGTTTATAAAAGAAATTAACATTTTAGATCTAAGATAAAGTGTGCTACCTTATAGAGTAGCACCAACAGTTTAACTGGCATATTAACTCTAACTTTTCTGACGTGTACCAAATGATTATGGAACTAAAGAATTTGGGGGAAATAAAGCACATACTGTTTTTCGGAGTTCCAAGTAGTTCCTTAAGGGAAGGAAAGAACCAGGCGGGGTCTGTTGGCCTGCACCAAAGCAGCTGGTCTGTGTGTGTTGGGGGGAGTAGAGCTTCGGACCCTGGCATAAAAAAATCAGTGTGGAAACTTTCCAAGAGGTGATAGGCATAGCAGAGATATTGTGGGTTGGCCTCCAGACCACCATAATAAACTGAATCACATAATATTTTTGGTTCCTCAGTATGTAAAACAATGTATATACCGTATTAATACTTTATGTTAAAAAATTCTAGTCGTCATCTGAGTCTGTTGGAAAAGCGGTGCCTGCCAACAGACTTATCAACTCAGGGTTACCGCAAACCTTCAATTTGTAAAAAAATGAATTATCTTCAAGTGCAATAAAGCAAAATATGCCTGTACTTAAATTACTTTCTTTACATTTTCTTAAAGATGCCCCTATAGTGCTTTCAGACAGCGAAGAAGAAGAAATGATCATTTTAGAACCAGATAAGAATCCAAAGAAAATAAGGTAACAAATTTCTGGTTTATTTCTCTGGTTTTATTCTCATCTCACCGGACTGCAAACAAAAAGACATCTTTCCTCATTAGAAATTCAGCTGTTCTATGGTTTCTTCAACCTGAGATTTATAAACATTAGGACCTAATTCTATAAAACTGTTTGGATTACTTTTCAAAGCTACTGCATTTTACTCTCGTAGTTGGCGAATGTTATATCATACTGGAAAAACTAACGCCTATTTTGGTCATCCAGACATTTGACAAGCACAGTGGTGTGAGCCTGGTGAGTCGTCGTGGAATCAGCTTCTAAGACTCATTTTGTTAGTAAACTGTTAATTTACTTTATTCACAGAACACAGACCATCAGTGCAAAACCAGAAAAAGCACCAAGTAAAAAGCCAGTGAAAAAGAGAAAAAAGAAGAGAGCTGCTAATTGAAGCTCACAGAGTTGCATTTGTGTATATATAACTATTAAAAAGATATTTATTTAAGTGCTAGCAATCTTGTTTCTTTTTTTCCTCCACAAGTACATCATAAAATCTAATCATTCCTTTATATAGTTTACATTTTCCTTTAAAATAGACCTTCTGGAGCATTTAACAGGTTTTAAATAATTGTCACTTCAGCAAAGTGTAAAGGTTGAGGAATGAAGAAGCATTTTCTTAGTGTATACAAAGGGCTCAGAGTCTTAGGATCATCATGGCTGATAAATAAGCATACTTATTCCAGATACGCTTCAGTTCTGCCCATATCAGCAAACTGGTCCAGTTGCTTAGAAAAACAAATGTCAGAACTTTTGTTTATTTTCCTGAAACTATATAGTTGACAGTTTAAAAAATTTTAAGAAATGCTTTCCCAGTCTCCCTATAGGAGACCACATTAATTTTTCTGAGTGAAATCTTAAGTCAACTTTTTTACCTCAAATTAAATTTGACTTACAAACCAAGTTTTCCAAATCAATTTATTAATTCTTATTCTTATTATCCTGACAGTTGGCATCATTAATACTTTAACAAAACGACTTAAAATTAGCCGAATATCTAAGATAGTTCCATGTACAAAAGATATACAAATTAAAACCATTTAAAAAGTAATAGATACCATAATTTGTACTTGCCGGTAACTTTTTGTATTCAGAAATGATTGTAAAATTAAAACCTAAGATAAAAACTGTACACCATATACTTTGATTTCAGTCTTAGAAAACAAAGGCAGTCTTTTACTGTCACATATTTAGTGTCTCTGGTGGGTTGAGGAGAGAAACACCATGATACCTGTAAATAAAAAAGTCCATTTTTAGTAAGCATTGAAAGAATGACATATCTATTAGGAACTCAAAAATGCTATTTCTGTCTATCTGAGTTAATGATTATAAAACCATTGTCTGGTCCCAAAAACATACATGTATGCCCTGTTTCTCTCCCCTCTCCCCCCTCAAATGTAAGACTAACACATGGCCTGCTAAGGGACCAGCTTCTAAGGAGGCTGTGCCTGATTTGTGAATTCTCTAAGAAAGTTCAAATGTCTCTAACCACATGATAGCCTGGAAAAAGCAGCTTCTTCAAATCTATTCATGTTCATCCTTACTTGGAATTTTTGTACTTTTCTCTGATGGACTGTTGTGCGTGCTGTGGTGCTCTGAGGTAGGTCTGGTGCAGGTCCAGGAGACAAGGCTTCAGACTTTCCAGGGTGTATCCAGTCTTTTGTACCAAGGATTCAGGCTACAGAGGAGGGAGAAGAAAACAGCTGTTTTTAGTAGCGGACACTACAAGTTAATAGCACTGAGCTTGACTTTTGTTAACTTTCAGTACTAACACCTCCAACTAACAGAGCTTCCAGTTTCCTCGAGCCATTATTCCATCTCTTTTTGTGCTGACTTGATCACCGTACGCTACTTTGCCTGCCAGCAGGTCCAAACAGCCGAAATCTTTAAGCATTCCTTTCAAGTCCAAGTCAAGATTAAGCTCTGCACCTAACACGCCATTACACAGTGTAGACAGTACACAGTTTCTCCAGGTCAGTCCATCTAGACAACCCTCAGCTGTACAGGACAATCTAGCTTTGTCTGGAACAAGCACTAAGTTGCACAGTGGATGTGGGACAACACGGTGATACATACCCAGCTTTGCCCCGTGACTGTGTAGAGTGCTAGATGAAAGGCTGCTCCAGCAATAACTGATGGCAAATACTTAAGGTATGGGTCAGCGTCTATCAAACTTAACTCTCCCAAAAACTGGAATGAAAAATAAGCAGACTTGATCACAAGAGGTCCGGAAGTCAAACCCTCAAAGCCCTGCCCTCTGACTTAATTTCTTCCTGGCTGTACAGCAACCGTAGAAAAAAATTCCCATAGCCTCTTCTTTCATCTATATCTACGACCTTAGTGTTTTGTTCCATTCTCTTCCTCTATTTTTCCCCTTTTAAAAACTTTTAAAACAACTCTTCTGGCTACCGTTTCCCAAGACGTCATCCTCAGGTCCCCGCTCCAAGTGCTTTCCCACAATTTCTGTTTTCTGCCTGGTAGGCTTGCTTCCACACCGCATCGCTAATCTGTCCTCAAAGACTAAATCCCTTGACCAGAGCTGTATAATGAAACAGCCTTGCCCCTACTTGGGACTTGAGAATCTCGATTCAACAAAATGAACTTACCATCGCTAAACTTTCAACTTTGCAGTTTGCAGGCTGCTGGTGCAGAAAATACTGGGTAAGAAACTGATTTACTGTTGGTGCGGCTAAGTCAAAAGCGAGGACTTTCAGAACGAGGTGCTCCATCCTCAGAACCTGTTTCTTCGTATAGGTATCATCTGTAATGTACACAAACTCTGCTACTTCTGGGGGGTATATTTCTTCAAACTTTCTACAATGAAAAAGTTTTAAGGAATCAGTCCTTCTAAAAGAGCAGCAAGCTTGTTTATTTATCCCAATTCCGAAATCCCTTTAGCAGAATACACAGAACGAATCCGAAACCTACTCGCTCCACCAACTGCCTGTTTCCACTGATCTCTGACCACTTCTAGCAGAGACCAGGTAAATGCTAATGAAAAGACCCCGATTAACAAAGGGCTTGTGAGAGATCTCTCCCAGTGCAGTCGACAGGAAATAAATGAGACTTCCCAAGATGGAAATAATGCCAGAGTTCACCAAATTTAGGGAATTTCCTTAGAAAAAGAAACATTTTATGTTTTAGTTTTAAATTTTAGTTTTCACGTCTTAATGGAGAGAAGGTGAGATTTTGCTTATAGGCCAGAAAGCACTTTTCAAGGGCAGAAACCACACTCCCAAGCTTTGTCGTCTAGTCCCAGTGTGGGAACGTGGCCAGTCTCCACGCTCATTCAACGAGGGACCCTGAAATCCACATCTGGGAAAATAAGACCCTACATTAGAAAAGTTTCCTCCACGCCTGTCACTGCTGCAGTAGCCATCGATGCTCTGCCTTGTGGAATATGAAATGTCACACTTAAAAATCACAGTTTCTTCCCTCACACAGAAAGGTGCCAATCACTCTAACCCGAGCTGACTTACGAGGCTAACAGCATCGCAGCCGTGCCCACGAGCTGGAGCTTCCCTCTCAGCACGGACATGGATGAAAGGAACCTGTCGATGTAGTTCACAGCCAAATGCAGGGTCTCATTCTGTAGTTTATACTCTTCGCCTACTTCTACTAACCAGTCCACGAGGATGGCCCTCATGCTGTTGGTGATGTCTGGCTGCTTCTTCATGTAACCCACTTTAGGCTTACATTTAATCTGTTGAGAAAGTTACTTAGCATAGCGTTACACGTTGCGGTTAGATTACCACTAAGAAGCTGCTATGTACTAGAAACCTAAGTAGAGTAATTCTCTGGTAGTTAAAAGTCTTAAAAATATTCTCTCATTTCACGATGTTGAATAAACAACGGCACAAAAGTGGATTCAGAGCCTTTACCTCCATCTCCCTAAGGTATGTGTGAATGTCCTCGTGGTAGTCGGGAACTTCATTAACACTCACTGGCTTTTCATCTTCCAGTACAATCGACATGTCCATCGTATGCGGTGACTCTGGGAGAATTCAAAAGCACGAGTTAATTTTCTATTTAATAGTCAAAAGTGACTGCCCTTGTAGGAAGTCTCACATCGGCGAAGCACTAATTTCACCCAACTAGAAAAGGCTTCTCATGACAAAGCACATAGAATATTTCACTCTGGTTCTAGTACTTCTGTCCACTCAGCTTTAACTACCAAGGAAAAAATACTGATAGGCCACTAACAGGAAATTAAGTGTAAGGATCAGGTATCATGTTAAGTATCGTTCGTTTTCCATGGGAGATGGGGACAGATGGCACAGGGGTCCTCTTTGGACAGAGTTAAAATCCAGTTTGGGGGTAGTATATAGGATTTACCCCAAGAGTTTGTAGACCCTAAAATCTGGCATTCAAAATGCAATCTAGGCAGTAACTCGAAGCAGGGCTAACAAATGTATTAATGAGAAAATTGGCTTTTTAGATTTATTATGGGTAGTTTAAACAAATTAACACTATAATCAACAAGAGATTCGCTCTTTTGTAATTTTAAATTATCTTTTGAAACAAAGATCATCCATCATTCTTTTCGCTTCAAGGTTCACTTTGATGTTAAAATTTGTTACAAATTTTAAAAATAAAAACACATGAATTTTAATCCCAAAGGACTTTCTTTCTTGCTCCTCCCAGACCACCTATCATCAACAGAACCAAAACAAAAAAGATTGGGACAGTGAGCTGTCCTGTGACTCAACAGCCCTATGGTAAAAGAAGCTGCACAAACTGTAGGCACAACTGTCTGTAGCTGCTGCTATAGGGTACATGTGCTTAGGTACGAAAACCCAGAGCTCAACTACTGACTCGCAGGAGGGCACCGTTCCTCTCTGGTGTCAGAGGATCACTCAGACTGGCTTCACAGAATAAAATTTTAAAGCTGGAAGAGATGTTAGAAATCACGATATGTAAAGATGCATCTTCGAATGACACTCTCCGAAGTGGTATGTACAAAGTGACTCCTGAATACAACTGAAAGCTGTTCTCGCAACAGAGCAAACATTTCCAGGGGCAGGTGAAAACAAACGTTTGCGATCTAATTCAACTGGTGGGACTGGCCGTGTCCTGGAAGCAGCACCTGATTAGGATTCGGACCCTTCTGTAGGTCACTAGGACACGTCTTAGTCATGAGGTCTGAGATAAGACACCCTTTCTAAACCTGTGACAACAAACCTAAGGATCATGTAACGTAATGTCTTACAATACAAAACATCACCATCTGACCTATTTAATGATTACGGTTACACTGGTTTGAAACAGAGGTTCATTAAAACTTACCAAAACTACCATCCATCGGATAATCAAGAGGCGCCAGCGGCTTCCTTTGTTCAGGCAAAGTAAGCGCTGAGCGAAACGCCAGGTCATCTTCGCATTCTGACTTTTCAGCTTCGCTGGGCCTCTTCTGAGTCTCTCCTTCGGCTTCATCCACGTGAATGGTGAACGCAGGCTGCTTACTGCTCGCCTTCCAGGCGGGAACAGCGACATGCTGCTCATCGTTTACAGGAAGATCCTTCAGAGGTGCGGCCTAAAGAGCAACAGATAACTGGCTGTGAGCCCATGAAATGAAGTTTTGTTTTCTTCCCCTGGCAGGTCTCAGCCTGTGCTTTTACTCCCAACTACTCTCTCGGGAAGGTTAAGCTTTCTGGGGCAAAATGCAGGCAAGGAACTTTGATCAGCTGAAGAGGGATGGTCCAATTTGTCACAGACATTGATACAAAGGCTAGAAAGACGGTCATACTAAGTGGAATTACGAAAAGGTAATCAAGGCCCAAGGGGTGGAGTGGCTGAAAGATGACAAGTTTAGGAAAGAGATGGCAAAACATGTTGGTGTGCCGCTTTCACCCCGGGGTGGAGCAACGGAGCAAATCCGGTAAAATGGCGGAATTTACCAAAAGCGAGGTATTTTTTATATCCCTTCCTAAAGTAGATAGAGGTGACCTCTGAGTCATCGTAGAGGCGACAGGAGGTCCAGGTCCCAGAGCAGTGCCTGGGGTTTAAAAGCCAAGAGAAAGGCGCGGAGGCGGGCAAAGACCGGTGGTGATGTCGGGCTCGGTTTAACCCCATTATCCGCAGAGAAATGCCCCCGACGCCGAGCCGCCGGGCAGGACAACGCGCCGC